AAACTATGTCTACTCACTTGTCTACTCATTCTCTCTCAAGTTTCCTTTCTCCAACTTTATTGCTTAATTTTTATTTAATTCCAGATACTTGAGTTTACTTCAAATTTATCCATTTGTCTACTCATTCTTTCTCATGATTCCTCTCCCTATGGTTTAATTTTTCTTTTTCAATTTCTCATTATTCCAGGCTCTTGAGTTTCATTCAAATTTTTCAGAGTGAACAAAATTCAGAATCATGGAATAGAAAAACTATGTCTGCTCATTCTCTCTTAAGTTTCCTTTCTCCATTGCTTAAACTTTTTTTCTTAATTTTTGTTTAATTCCAGGTGTCTTTCAAATTTATCCACGTGTCTATTAATTTTTCTCCAGATTCCTTTCCCCATGGCTTAAATTTTCTTTTTCAATTTCTCGTTATATCCAGGCTATTGAGTTTCATCCAAATTTCTCAGAGTGAATAAAATTCAGGAGCCTGGAATATAAACACTATGTCTATTATCTATTCACAATCCGATGTCCGAAGGTAAAGGTAAAATTATCACTTTTCAATGCTATCCGATAGGGAAAGGTGATAAATTTACCTTTACCTTTGGACTACGGATTGTGAATAGGATATACATACATACTCACTAGTTTTTTTTTATTAAAGTTGACATTCTGGCATTTCTCACTGGATTAATTTGAAATTTTGATATGATGAACTCCTGAAATTTCTCTTTTCATTATATAATATCACAAGAGAAAAAAAATTTATTGTCGTTTTCCACTAAATCAATTTGAAATTTTCGTATGATGAACTCCTGGCTTTTCTCTTTTGATCCTAAAAATTTTAAAATTTTCCTTTCACTGGTTTTCCCAGAGATCCTTAAAATATAAGATGAGGTTGCATTTTTCTTATAGTTTTGTATTTTCTGGAATTTCTCATGTTTTCGTTTTTTATTGGATCAATTCAAAATTTTAGTATAATGAAATCCTGGCTTTTCCCTTTCCATCCTAAAAGTTTCAAAATTTTTCTCCCACTGTTTTTTTCAGAAATTCTCCCTCATTTTTCTTATGTTATCATTTTTAGTTGGATTAATTTGACATTTTCGTATGATGAACTCTTGGTTTTTTTCTCTTCGTCCTGAAAATTTCAAAATTTTTCTCCAGAAATCCTTAAAATGTGAAATAAGAGTGCATTTTTCGTATATGTAGTTTTATATTTTGACAGATTTTCTGGAAACTTTATGTTATCGTTTTCCACTGGATTAATTTGAAATCTTAGTATGATGAACTCCTGACTTTTCCCTTTCTAGCCTTAGAATTTCAAAATTTTCCTCTCAATGGTTTTCTAGAAATCCTCAAAAAATAAGATGAGAGTGCATTTTTCTTATAGTTTTGTATTTTAAGGTTAATTTCTAGAATTTTCTATATTGTTTTTCATTGGATCAATTTGAAAATTTTAGTATGATAAACTCCTGGCTTTCCCCTTTCCATCCTAAAAATTTCAAAATTTTCCTCTCACCGTTTTTTTCAGGGATCCTTAAAATGTAAGATAAAGTTGCATTTTTTATTATAGTTTTATATTTTCTGAAATTTCTTATGTTTTCGTTTTCCACTGGATTAACATAAAATTTTAGTATGATGAACTCCTGGCTTTCCCCTTTCCATCCTAAAAAATTTCAAAATTTTCCTCTCACTGGTTTTTCCAGAAATCCTCAAAATATAAGATAAGGGTGCATTTTTCTTATAGTTTTGTATTTTAAGGTTGATTTTCTGGAACTTCTTATGTAGTCGTTTTCCATAGGACTAATTTGAAATTTGAGCATCATGAACACCTTGTTTTCTTTTTTTTATCCAAAAAAATTTCAAAATTTCTTTCTCAGTGATTTTTCCAGAAATCCTCAAAATGTGCATGAGAGGGTGCATTTTTCTTGGTTTGGTATTTTAAGGTTGATTTTCTCGAATTTCTCATGTTATCGTTCTCCACTGGATCAAGTTGAAATTTTAGTATAATGAACTTCTGACTTTCCCCTTTTTATCCTGAACATTTCAAAATTTTCCTCTTACTGGTTTTTCCAGAAATCCTCAAAATGTAAGATGAGGGTGTATTTTTTTTATATTTAGTTTGGTATTTTAAAGTTGATTTTCTGGAATATCTTATGTTGTCGTTTTTCGTTAGATCAATTTAAAATTTTAGCATGATAAACTCCTGGTTTTCTTCTTTTCATCCTAAAAATTTCAACATTTTCCTCGCACTAGTTTTCCCAGAAATTTAAAAAATTTAAAATATAAGATAAAGGTGCATTTTTCTTATAAATTTTAATTTTTAAGTTGGTTTTTTGTGGAATTTTCTATGTTGTTTTTCTTTGGATCAATTTGAAATTTTTGTATGATGGACTCTTGGTTTTCTTTTTTTCATCTTCAAAATTTCAAAATTTTCCTTTCACTGGTTTTCCTAGAAATCCCCAAAATGTCAGATGGGGATGCATTTTTCTTATAGTTTTGTATTTTAAGGTTGATTTTCTAAAATCTCGTATGTTGTCGTTTTTCATTGAACCAATTTGAAATTTAAGTATGATGAACTCTTGGCTTTTTCCTTTTCATCCTTAAAATTTCAAAATTTTCCTTCCACAGGTTTTCCCAGAAATCCTCAAAATGTAAGATGGGGATGCATTTTTCTATAGTTTTGTACTTTAACTAATTTTAAGGTTGATTTTATGAAATTTCTTATGTTATCGTTTTTCACTGGATCAATTTGAAATTTTAGTATAATGAACTTCTAGTCTTCTTATTTTTATCCTGAAAATTTTAAAATTTTTCTCTCACTAGTTTTTTCAGAAATCCTCAAAATGTGAGAGGGTGCAGTTCTCTTGGTTTTGTATTTTGAGATTGATTTTCTGAAATATCGTAGGTTCTCGTTTTTCACTGGATCAATTTTAAATTTTACTATGATGAACTTCTAGTCTTTTTTTTTTAACCTGAAAATTTCAAAATTTCTCTCTCACTGGTTTTTCCAAAAATCCTCAAAATGTAAGAGGATGCATTTTTCGGGTCACCGTCAATTCGTTGTAAATTAATATGTCGTATGTCAGTTCGTCGTACGCCAATTCGGCCTAAAGTCAACTCGTCGTACCTATGTGTCAATTCATCGTAAAGTCAATTTGTCTTAAACGTCAATTCGTCGTAAGGTAAATTCGCCGTATACGTCAATTCGTCGAAACATTATTTCGTCGTACACGTCAATTCGTCGTATTTCAGGTATTATGTTAGAATATTGAAATTTATAAATTTACATTGTCTACTAGTTATTTTAAACATCACCAAACTTACCGATAATAACCCGGTTAGTTTGCAATTTTAATCAGACAAAACATTGCAAACTAAACCAAACTAACCGGGTTATTATCGGTAAGTTTGATAATATCTGATTGAAATTGTAAACTATTAACACGTTAATTAGTCGTGTACGTCAATTCGTCGTATACGTTAATTTGTCGTATTGTTAATTTGTCGTATTTCAGGTACGATGTTAGAATGTATAAATTTGCACTTCTACTTTTTAATCAGACATTATCAAATTTACCGATAATAACGTCGAATTATACCTACATTGTTGTATACGTTACCTTACGACAATTTGACGTATACGACAAATTGACTTTACGACGAATTGACGTATACATCGAATCAACGCTACGAGGAATTGACGTATAGGACAATATGGTAATGCGTCGGTTATTATCGGTAAGCTTGATAATGTCTGATTAAATGGAAAGTTCAAATTTATACATTTCAACATTATATTTAAAATACGACGAATTACCGCTACGACAAATTGGCGTATACGACGAATTGACTTTACGATGAATTGACATCTACGACGAATTGATTTTATGACGAATTGACTTTACGACTAATTGACGTGTACGGCGAATTGCATTTACGGCGTATTGACTTTACGACGAATTGACGTACGACGAATTGACATAGACCCGCATTTTTCTTAGTTTAGGTTTTTTAAAGTTGATATTCTGGCATTTGTTATCCTGTCGTTTTCCATTGGATCAATTTGAGATTTCAGCTTGATGAACTCCTGTAATTTCTTTTTTTTATCCTGAAAGTTTCAAAATTTCTTTCCTACTGGTTTTTCCAGAAATCTTCAAAATGTTAAGGGTGCATTTTTCTTAGTTTAGTTTTTTTAAAGTTTATATTCTGGCATTTGTTATCCTGTTGTTTTTCACTGGATCAATTTGAAATTTTAGCATGATGAACTTCTGTCATTTCTCTTTTTATTCTAAAAGTTTCAAAATTTTCCTCTCACTGATTTTTCCAGAAATCCTCAAAATGTGAGAGGGTGTATTTATCTTAGTTCGGTTGTTTAAAGTTGATATTCTGGTATTTGTTATCGTGTTGTTTTTAACTGGATCAATTTGAGATTTCAGTATGATGAATTCCTGTCATTTCTCTTTTTATCCTAAAAGTTTCAAAATTTCCTTCGCACTGGTTTATCCAGAAATCCTCAAAATGTGAGAGGGTGCATTTTTCTTAGTTTTGTAATCTAAAGTCGATTTTCTGGAATTTCTCATGTTGTCGTTTTCCATGGAATCCATTCGAAATTTTAGTATGATGAATTTTTTGGTCTCTCTGTTTTCATCCTAAATGTTTGAAAATTTTCCTCTGAGTATATTTTCCAGAAATCTTCAAAATGTGCTTAGTTTTAGTTTTTCAAAGTTGATTTTCTGGAATTTTTTATGTTGTCGTTTTCCACAGAATCAATTTGAAATTGGTATGATGAACTTCTGGCCTTCTTCTTTTTATCCTAAAAGTTTTAAAATTTTCCTCTTAGTGGTTTTTCCAGAAATTCTCAAAATGTGAAAGAGTGTATTCTGAATAAATTTGTATAATTTTCACTGAATTAATTTGAACTTTCAAATTGAATTATTTTTTCATAAGTGAGTGGGTTTTTTTTCATCCTGTAGTAATAATAAGATAATAATTAATAATAATTCAATTCTTTCCAGCTGTTATTGAAATCCTACCAAAAATCGAATCCAAAGTGGCTCTCTACCAAATAAATTGCAACAACAACGCCAATTCACAAGATGAAAGATTCCAGAATTTGGATTCACTTTTAAAAGACGCTTCAATTAAATTACCAGAAGTTCCAGAAAAATTAGGCCACCATGACCATTTGGTTTACATTTACACTTCTGGTACCACCGGATTACCTAAAGCAGCTGTAATAAGTACATCCAGGTAATAATTGTCCATGTGAATAATTATTTTCAAGAATCTATAATTTCAAACTCAATAATTTAGACTCTAGAACTTAGAAGATTCAAAGACTAGTTATTAGAAGTTTCCAGAGTTTTTTTGGATCTGAATTCAAAATTCAAAAATTATGGCGTCTTGACAAGTGACATTTTTGGCAAATGACATTTCTGTTTTTGTTCCAGATATTTCTTCATAGTAGGCGCGATGCATTGGTTGTGCGGTTTTAAATCGACCGACAGATTTTATTGTCCTTTGCCACTTTACCACACTGCCGGAGGTTGTATGAGTATGGGGCAAATGTTGTGTTACGGCTCTAGTATCGTAATCAGAAAGAAATTTTCGGCTTCGTCTTATTTCAGCGAGTGCAGAAAGTATAATTGTACGGTACGTTTCATTGACATTGTTGTCATTATTACTACTCCTTTTTCAATTATTAAGAAAATCAAAGTTTAACAACTAATTAATCGGTTTATCTTCAGGTTCAGGAACCCCGTGCTAGAATGTTTTTGGCGCGAAATTTAAATAAAAAGTACTTAAAATCTGTTTCAGACTGCTCAATACATTGGAGAAATGTGCCGGTACATTCTAGCAGTACCTCCCAAACCAACAGACAAGGAGCATAACATCAGAATGATTTTCGGAAATGGTCTAAGGCCTCAAATTTGGAAAGAATTTGTTGACAGATTTAATATTAAAAGCGTCAAAGAGTTTTACGGTGCTACTGAAGGAAATGCAAATATTGGTAAGAATTTTTTTTCTAAGATTACAATGTTGCCAATATGTTATATTTCTAATCAAATTCCAGTAAACACCGACAACACTGTAGGATCAATAGGCTTCATTTCGCGCATTATTCCACAAATATACCCAATATCCATAATAAAAGTCGACGAACAAGGTGAACCGCTCCGAGATGCGCGTGGGTTGTGTCGCACCTGCGAACCCAATGAACCCGGCGTTTTTATCGGAAAAATTGTGCCCAACAATCCATCGAGGGCCTTTTTAGGTTACGTCGATACCGAGGCATCGAAAAAGAAAATCGTCCGCAATGTTTTTAGTCAGGGAGATAGCGCTTTTATTTCGGGCGATATTTTGATCGCCGATGAGTTTGGAAATTTGTTTTTCAAAGACCGGACGGGCGATACTTTCAGGTGGAAAGGGGAAAATGTATCGACGTCAGAGGTAAGCGGATGTTCCTTCAAGAATCTGAACCTTTATTAATTCCTTCTTCCTTGCTTAAACACCTGTCAAACTAGGCGCCAGTTGCCAAAAATCAAATGTCAAATGTAAGAAAATTTTGACAGGAGCAATTTGAGAAAATTCAACAGTAAGTCAAAATTTTAAAGTTAATCAAAAACTGGTTCCAAAATGTTTAGAATTGTATCTAAGATAATTTTCAAAATATCTGAAATCTTGAAATATCTCTTACATTTAAGTACTAGTGTCATAATATCTAAATTATATTCACTTGTACAATAACTCATCAACCAATTGAATTGAGTTGGACGCCATTTTGAGGTTCTTCATTGACATACCCATAGGCGCAACTAGGGCGATGCTTGGGGGTGATAAAAAATTAGTGCAACCAAATTATTATTTTTTTGTTGCTCTTTTTGTACTTACTCACGTCATAATTTAGAAAAAAGTATTTTGTCGTTGATTAATTCATAGAGCACGTTCGCAATTATTATTGTTATGAAATAAAAAATTTCAACCGGAGCCGGTATTACAATATTACCTTAAAATCAACACTTGCCCTAAAATATACGGGTTTTATGTTCCATTTAGGATGACGTCATCGAACAAGGTCAGACAATGTTGTCAATGTCTTATCTTTATTCTATATCTTAAAATGACATTGAAATACCGGCCCTTAAAAAATCATTGGAGTCCCAAATATGTAAGTTAATTAACTGCGTATTATACAGGGTGTTCCTAAATATCATGTACACAGAGCTTACACAGAGTGTTTTATTTTTATGACTGAAATGTCAAATATGTTTTAAAAAAGTGACTTATTTAAACAAAATTAAAAAAATTGACTCTCTTACATTTTAATTTTTTTCTGGAAAACTTGCAAAGAGAAAATTTTTAAAATTTTCCAGGAATAAGAGGAAAATGAGGAGCTTATTTCACGAAAATTTCAAAATTTTCCTGCAAAAAAATCACTCTAGAATTTTTTTTAAAAATCTAACTTTTTTAAGCAAAATTAAGAAGAATTCACCCTCTTACATTTTAAATTTTTCTAAAAATCTGGCAAAGGGAAAATTGTGACATTTTTCCAGAAGAAAAAGAAAAGTGAGGAGCGCATTATAGGAAAATTTCAAAATTTTCCAGTGGAAAATCACTCCAGGAAAAATTCTGAGAATTGACTTTTTTAGGCAAAATTTCACCCTCTTACATTTTAATTTTTATCTGGAAAACTTGCAAAGAGAAAATTTCGAACATTTTCCAGGAATAAGAGGAAAATGAGGAGCTCATTTCACGAAAATTTCAAAATTTTCCAGCAAAAAATCACTCCAGGAAATTTTTTTAAAAATCAACTTTTTTAAGCAAAATTAAGAAGAATTCACCCTCTTACATTTTAAATTTATCTAAAAATCTGGCAAAGGGAAAATTGTGACATTTTTCCAGAAGAAAAAGAAAAGTGAGGAGCGCATTATAGGAAAATTTCAAAATTTTCCAGTGGAAAATCACTCCAGGAAAAATTCTGAGAATTGACTTTTTTAGGCAAAATTTCACCCTCTTACATTTTAATTTTTTTCTAGGATAATGTTTAATATTGTATTTATAGAATGCTTTGGCCACTACCTGCAGGTTGGTGGCATATATCAATCAATATAGATTTGTCAGAAAGTAATAAAAAATTTGTCACAATTTAAAAAATTCTATTCCTCAATTTAAGTCCATTCAAGTCGTCCTATCATTATTTCTCTTCCAATCCATCCAGAACAAAATCAATTGAACCAGTATCAAGTTGAACATAAACAGATACTGCCGAAAGGAAAATTGTGAAAATTTCCCAAAAAAAAGAGGAAAATAAAGAGCTCATTATAGCAAAACTTTAAAATTTTCAAATGAAAAATCACTCCATAAAAAATTCTGGAAAATTGACTTATTTAAGCAAAATTAAGGAAATTCACCCTCTTACATTTTAATTTTTTTCTGTAAAAACTGGCAGAGGGAAAATTTTCCAAGAAAGAGAGGAAAGTGAGGAGCTCATTATAGGGAAATTTCGAAATTTTCCAGTGAGAAATCACTTCAGGGAAAATTCTGGAAAATTAATTTTTTCAAGTAAAATTAAGGAAAATTCATCCTCTTGTATTTCAATTTTTTTCTGGAAAACTGGCAAAAGAGGAAAAAGAGGAAAGTCAGGAGTTCAATATAAGAAAATTTCAAAATTTTCAAATGGAAAATCGTTCTAGGAAAAATTTTGAAAAAATGACTTTTTTAAGTAAAATTAAGAAAAACTCATCTTCACACATTTCAATTTACTTCTGGAAAACTAATAGAGCAAAAGTTGTGAAATTTTTCCTGGAGAAAGAAGAAAATGAGGAGCTCATTATAGGAAAATTTCAAAATTTTCTAGTGAAAAATCACTCTAAGGAAAGTTGAGAGGAAAGTTCTGGAAAATTGACTTTTTTAAGCAAAATTAATCCTTTCACATTTCAATTTTTTTTCTGGAAAACTGGCAAAGCAAAAATTGTGGAATTTTTCCAGGAGAAAGAGAAAAGTGAGGAACTCAATGTAAGAAAATTTCAAAATTTTCTAGTGAAAAATGACTCTAGAAAAAATTCTAGAAAATTTTGTTATTTAAGCAAAACTAAGGAAAATTCACCCTTTCACATTTAATTTTTTTTTTGGAAAACCGGCAAAGACAAAATTTTGAACATTTTCCAGGAAAAAGAGAAAAGTGAGGAGCTCATTATAGGGAAATTTTGAAATTTTCCAGTGAAAAATCACTCTAGGAAAAATTCAAAGAAAATTGACTTATTATTAGGCAAAATTCATCTTCTTTTATTGTAATTTTTTCCTAGAAAACTGGCTACGGGAAAATTTTGAAATTTTTACAGGAGAAAGAGAAAAGTGAGGAACTCATTAGAGGAAAATTTAAAAATTTTCCAGTGAAAAAACACTCCAGGAGAAATTTATTTATATATTTGCGGATAACTGAATAAACTTTATTTTAAGTTAAAAAATGTATTACGAAACAATAATTCCGAAGGTGCTCTATGAATTATTCTATGACTTAACTTTTTCTCTAAGTTATGACGTCATCGATGACGTAAGTAAAAATCTTCGTGCCGTGCAACGAACTATATGTTTGCTTGAAATTTCAGACATAAAAAAACCTATTTTTCAAAAAAAAAAGGCAAATGATGACGTAAGTACAAACCCTCGTGAAACTAACTTTTTTTCCCATTTGCTTTCCATCAATCCCCATAAAAAAAAAAAAAAAAAAATGGTGCTACAGCATCCTTCAAATTTGGAGCCTAGTTGCGCTTATCGACATACCCAAATACTAATAACAAAATGGCGGATTTTTGATATAGTTTTCCAATGATAAATTAACTATTTCAGATTGAAGGTGTTTTAAGCAACATTGTAGACTACAAAGATGTGGTCGTTTATGGCGTAGAAATCCGAAACATGGAAGGCAGAGCCGGAATGGCAGCTCTCTACGATCCCCAAAGGGATGTCAATCTGGATAAACTCTACAAAGGCCTTTGTGAGGCTTTGCCAGTCTATGCCAGGCCGATTTTCATACGGATATTGACCAAATTGGATTTGACTGGTAAAAATTTTGTCCAATTCAATTCAAAAATGAGTAAATAATAATTGTTTCAATAGGTACTTACAAAATGAAGAAAAACGATCTTCAAAATCAAGGTTTTGATCCTTCAAGGACTAGTGACAGTATTTATTATTTGACAGCGAAAGGACAATACGAACCAGTGACTCAAGAGATTTACGAAAAAATAAATTCAGGAGAAATTCGAATTTAAGTTGGTATTTCAAAAGGCAGACTGATGATTGATTACCTTTTGACTATAATAAGAATCTGAGGGATATTGTTGTATTTACACCTAGTTTGGACTTAATTTATACAACTTGTTTTTAGTAGCTATATTTCTCTAGGCCTTTTGTTAAAGGATTAAGTTAAGTGTAAAGAATACTTGGAATAATTTTTGAAACATAGCGTATAAGATCTAAAACAAAGAAAAAATTCAAGGCTGTGCAGAATTTGAAATTTATTTCCTGTTTTTATTGTTTCACTATTTATAAGTAAGTATAATATAATATACATTGTGAGTTTTAAAAAATTGCATACATTTTGGAATGATCACTTTATTAAATCACCTTGTTTTTCCATAAATTACACATCTATCTACATTTTGTCCCATAACTTTGTTAATTTTAATTAGATTTTAACGTTTAACGCAATTAGACTCAAATTAAAGCCAAATAAATTCTCTACAAAATTCACAATTTTTAAAAATAAATCATAAAAACATTACAAAGTTACCTATTTAAAACTTGAGTTCCATTTGAATGTTTTTATCCGTTTAAAAAGAACTCACCCTGTATATTTTTTCAAAGCAATATTATTGGTACTTATTTAAAAAAAAAAAAACCTTTATAATTTATTTAAATAATGTTTTTCTCTCTTATTTAAACAATAGTTTACTTTTTTTATATACCTACTATATTTATATTTAAGGCGTGGTTTTTTTTTAAATAATGTTTTATGTATTTGGTTTATTGTCGATTTATGTGTTAAATATATATTTCAATAATTAAAACAATAATTTTTGTCTATTGAAATTTTTGAATTTTATTTTCCATTTCTTATTAACGATTTTATACCTATATCCTATTCACAATCCGTAGTCCGAAGGTAGAGGTAAATTTATCACCTTTCCCTATCAAATTTTACCTTTACCTCTGGACATCAGATTGTGGATAGATAATACGTTTGTTGTCAAATTTAATTTTTAAACTAATTTTAAAAGAAATATGAAAGTTCTTCATAATGAAAATATTCCAGGCAGAAGTGTCAATAATTGAAATAAATTACTTGGAATTTAAAAAAGATATCTATAAGCGGTTTACCGAATTTAAAAAATAATTCCGCAGGCGCAAACCGCTCATTCTTTAGTTCTCTATAGTGTAATTTAAAG